TAGCTAAGCAAGGGATAAATAGGGAAGAATTGTTTTGGGCTCAGTTGTGATTCTTGCTTTTCTTTCCTAGTTTACTTGTAAGATTCAAGGAGGGGCTGCAGCTCGCGCCTCTCCCTGGGATGTTGTATGAACTCATTCTAAATCTGCTTCTGAATTAATAAATTGATTATCATTCATAAAAAAAAAAAACATCAGCCTTTCTTATGTTATGTCTTTTTTAAATTATTCGCCCAGTTAAGGGCCTCTCTGTAAATTACTAAAATTAAGTTAATGAAAAGGAATTAGGGTGTAAGAGGAGATTAGATTCGAAAATCTCTCTCTGAACCCTTATTGTAGCAACCTTCTTCTTCCTCTTCTCTCTTCTTGATTCTCTATTTCTACTACTCTCTATCACTTTTTTGCACCTTTTCAAATAGTCCATTTATTTCAGAAGGTTGTTTTTCTTCTTGGTATTAGAGCGGGCTCTTCTTTTCTCTCTTTTCTCCTCTTTCTTCCCATACACAGTGTGTATGGAGAACTGAATCGAATGAATAGTTAAAGGAAATTTTTCCAACCCAGTTGTTAGTAGTTTTTTGGAGAGGAGGCTATCCTTGTCATTACTTTGACAATATCAAGTGTGTTGCCCAAAACCCTAATTAATTGGAGAAATCTGTTTGCGGGCCCCACAGAGAGTTTGACCTTGGCACTCAGTGATTGAAAGACTTCTTGTACTTCATCTTGAAGATTGATTCAAGTTGCCCGGTGTTCTGTGAAGTCTACAAGGTGCAGCTAGGTTTTTTCTGCTTCTCCTGGGTTCCAGGTGTGACGCAGTTAACAGGTACGGCTGCATAGAGCTTGATTCACAACACATTTTTTTCCTGTCTTCATTGATTGCTAATTAAAGTTGGTAGAAGCTATTTTTGGAGTGTTTTAAGAAGATGGATCCTTTGGAAGTTGAAAACAAGCATGTTGCTGAATCCGGACAGGTTCTAGAGGCCTTTGTTGACTCTCTACTAGTTGTGACCACAATCAAGCTAGATGGAACCAATTATCTGGCATGGTCACAATCAGTAAAAATTCATGTCTGCAATAGAGGCAAGTGGGGTTATATCTCCGGGAGCAAGAAGGCCCCCTCGAAAGATGATCCATCCTATGAAAAATGGATGCAAGACAATTACACTGTAATCGGATGGTTAGTAAATTCAATGCAACCACAAACCAGTCAACACTATTTGTGGATGAATTCAGCAAAGGAAATATGGGACAGTGTTGCTGAAACCTATTCTCAGAAACTGAATGTAGCCAAGGCATACAAGCTGAGGAGTGATGTGAAAAATTTAAGGCAGGGGGAGAAACCTTTGGTTGTTTATTTCTCAATGTTGAAATCCCTTTGGCAAGAAATTGACTTGATGGAAGTTGTTGCCTGGGAAAGTACTAATGATGCTGAAACCTACAGAAAACTAGT